GAAGGAAAAGAGAGGAAGGAAGGAAGAGAAGTGAAAGAGAGAAAGAAAAGGAGGGAAAGAAAAGGAAAGGGGAAGGAAAGGAGGGAAAGAAAGAGGGCAAAGAAATGGGGGGAGGCTCTCCCACCCCCACCCCCCAATCAAGCCTCCGCCACCTCCCACAGATCCCTCACTTACCCCGGGAGGTGGCAGCAGGGGGGCCTCTTCTGGCCTCCCAGGGTCGCAGTGCTCCGGCACTGGAACTGGGAGGCGGCGGTGGGGCTCTTCTGGCCTCCCAGGGCCGCAGCACTCCGGTGCTGGCACTGGGAGGCAGCGGGGTGGCCTCTTCTTGGCTCCCAGGGCCGCAGTGCTCTGGCGGTGGCCCGGGGAGGCAGCAGGGAGCCACAGCACGGAGAGCTGGGGGCGGGGCTTGCTGCTGCCACCTCTGGTGGCTGGGCTCCCAAAGCAGTGCTCCAGTGCACTCCGGCCCCAAAAGACCCCTGGAGGATACTGTGTAGAGTTTCTGTGCTTCCAAGTCAACACTGACTTTTTTACATTTAACCCAATAGAAATGACCACCACATGGACCGAGGCAGGGGAAATGCCTGCCTTGTGGGTGGCTGTTGCCCATACAGAAGCCATCCCAAGTTTACAGCAATGTTTTCCAAAACATCACAGCAAAGCGAGTTTAAGAAAGCCTAGAAACCTTCAGAGTGTGCACAGACCCACCACAGTGGAATGGGGAAAGAGGATCTCATATACAACATTATTGTGCTCAAGTTGCATTGATGATTTCTGGCATCAAAAAGTATCATTATCAGGCTTAATCCAATGCTTCACAACTGAATTTTGTTCCAATTAACTAGCTCCTAAAACAATTTGCAGTAGTCTGTAAAAAAATTAGCAACCCCTGCATATCAGGAAAAAGAATGCCTCCTCTGAGTTTTGGACATAGCAGAAACTGACTAAGCTATAGACAAGATTCATTTTGGTACAGGACTCAGTTCCTCGTGTTAATTGGGCACTAAGGGGCTTCCATCTTTTGATTACTGGAATTGTCATCTACAGTTTACAAGTCTGAGAGAAATGTTCTCTTGTTGTACTCTAGAAATGTGTACTTTATTGTTGTTTTGTATTATAGCATGATTGATATTTATACAATAATTTTTAATGCTTAAAAAGATCAACTTTACACAGTTGTTTGTCACACTGAAAGAATTGTAGACATTTCCAGAACTACAAAATATGCCCCATATTAACATGCAACTTAGCCACATCTATAAATTATATTGGGGGTTTAGAGTTCCTTTCTTTCTTTGTATTTTTGAAATAAAAACAACACAAAAATTATGAGTGTTAAACTTGTACAAACACGATAGACCAGTTATTATTGGAGGGCACTACGACATTCTCTGTTGCAACATAGTGAACTCTCTGGAATGAAGGTCATACAACTTTCTAAGATCCAAAAACCTATCACTTTATATTTAAAAAGAAGAAGAAGAACATGCAATCAAGTCACAACTGACTCATGGTGACCCCCACAGGGTA